GTAAATCGACCCATATCAGTATAAATCTCAATGGCTTTTAGCAAACAACTTATAGCCTCTAAAAACAATATATTCTCAATTTTATACAATATTTCATTTTACTTTATTTTCATAATCTAATATCTTGCATTAAAAGAAAAAAAAAATAATTATATAGACAATATCATTATTGTACCATTGACATCAGATTTCTTAAAGCAGTTAGAAGCATCAACGTAACAATTAGCAGCATCATGACGACTGCCAGCTTTAGCATGCAAGTCTGCAGCTTCATAAAATGCACTTCCTGCAGCACTCCACTTCTTTGCCATTTTGAACATATTTGCTGCACGCTGATAACATTCTACTGCTTCTTCTACTCTGGAAGATCCCCTGTATAATCCAAAAATTATTAATATTAAATTTCATAATTTCATATTTTTATGGAAATAATACAACGATCATCGACCATCTATAGTATGTCTTGAATAATAAGTAAACAAAAATAATAATAATAATAATAATAATAATAATAATAATAATAATAATAATAATAATAATAATGATAAATTTCAATATATTTTTTCTTATAAAATAATCAACATATTTAAATATTATTCGTTGTTTTTCTCATGCCATGATACATAGCTTTAATTTCTTTTGCGTTTTAGATAATGTTACTACAAAAGAAAACTTACGTATTAGTTTACATATATAGACCACTAATACGAACATGCGTGTTCCACATATCATGAAAAATGACTCAATAAAAGATATAATAATATAATGTATGACAATAAAAAAAATATGAAATTATAAATAAATAAATTATTATAAAGGGATGGTATCATAATGTGGATAAATAATATCACGTCACATTAACATTCTTCTAATCGGACGAGTTCAAGTAAATCAATGTGTTAACATACCCAAATAAAGAACCGAAAAAACCTTTGGATGATAACTTTTTTTCAGCTTCAGCTACTAACTGCATTGCTTTCTGCTCGCTGTCAGCCATCCTCAAGACAATTTTATTACCGTTCAAATTTTTATAAGCAACGGATCATTAAATCCAAGTTAAAACGAACCTTCCACAAATAGACGTCACTAAACTTGATAAAAGCGCAGTGGTAAATCGACTGCCATTCGCAACAGAATAGCCAACTGATACACGATGAAGCAATAACCAACACTGGACAAAATTATACGCTCTCATTTTGTTCGATACTTTTATAATATCCCTAGCATAAAAAAAAAAAAAGTTAAAAGAAAGAAAAAAAAAAAAAAAGAAAAATTAAAGAACTATTAATCTCAAACGAAAATATAGTGTGATTTAACGTAATAAAGAATAAATTATGCAAATTTATTTTATATTTTTGTTAATTTCTATATTAAACATATACTTATATTATACGTATATTATAGCATAAACAATATCGTATACACGCATATTTTCTCTTCCTCTCCCTCTCTCTCTTTCTCTCTCTCATATATAGTAATTTATAGATTATTACATAACCTTCATCTAACTTTATTTATTTATTTATTTATTAAATATAAACGTATACGTACACGTATTTCAATGAATATTTAAATGATCTAAATAGTTCAAATTAAAATGAGAAGTACGAATTAAAACAACATTTTAAATTTATATTAAAATGTATCTATAAAACTGTACAAAAAAGTGTTTACAATTTAAGACCAGTAGTAATAATAAGCAAAATTTTTTTCAATATAATGTAAGTTATTCGTATGTTACAAATCCAGGTAATCCTTATAAGAAATATTTGAATTAAATTTATCTACAGATACTGCATATTAATTCTAGTTCATTTAAAAAACTTATCTGTACACATTCCATCCAAGTATATTACGTGCCTAAAAAATAAAAATAATGATATTTTTTTGTATAATTTAATTATACAATTTCATATGAGAATACTTACAGTGATTATAGTAGCACTGGCTATTTCTTTTACTTGTTTCAAAGTCTGTTCTGGTTGTAAATCTGAAGTTGCAGATATAATTCTATGCAATTGATCAGCTTCATCTATTCGTCTTTTCAAAAAGTTCCACGTATGTTCATGATCATTGCTGTTATCTTGAAGCATATATAATTCTGTTGTTTTATAAATACCTGCTAATACTATTCTCTTAGTATACCAAGTGATCTAAAAAAGGAATTAATAATCATTAAAAATATAATGTCTATTAATTATATTATTGTGAACTAATGTATATAAACCTACATCAATGGATCTATCGCCAGTATAATAACAAATATCATCGACCAATGTAACTAAATTTGCTAGTGATGTTGGAACGTTTGGTGGAAGTGTCATAAGTGCTATTGCCTGCGACCAATTTTTTTTGTAAGGTATTATCATTCTAAGCCTGGTTTCCATAGCATAACTGATCTGTTCTCTTGGATTTTCTACTTTTTTTGCAGGATCTGCTTGAATTGTCTCATATTTTTCTTTCAGAATTTGATTCAATTCATTATTGGAGGTTGAATAAAAATGTGCAACTAATTCTGCACCGCCATTCGGAAACATTCCATGAATTATGCCAGGATAACCAATAGATTCAGCACCTTTGATATTCAGCTTTCGATTACATTCAATTATTTAATTTAAAAATATAAAAATTTAGAGAATAAAATTCATTTGTAAAATGCTAATAACTACCAGCACTAATAGCTTGTCGGCTCCATCCTAACTCTGGAACAAAATTCATCGATGCAATAAGGATTTTCCTCTTTGTTTTTTGTTCATACTCTTCTTCAGTTTCCTCATTTGATGATTTATATTCTTCTTCTCTCTGATGAATATTATCATTGGACTGATATCTTACTAGAACTCTTGAAATCAAAAGACTTCTGAACCCTACATCAAAATAATGTATTTTATTGTTTACATTAAATTATTATACTATATATAATATATATCAATAGAAGCTACAATTTAATTATATGTATATTATGAGCAGTAAAAAAAAAATGGAAGACACAATTAAATGTTAATATTATTTTATCTTCTCATATAATGACAGATATATATGTAACTCAATATATTATGATTTATAATAAGATATTTTTTATAAAATCATTCACAATGCACTCATTAACTCTAATCAAAAGACTTTCCATTACATCAAGACCGCATAAAACTTGATGTGAAAATTTGAGTTTTTGTGTTATTGGCATGGCTGGTAATCTTTTGTTACCAACAGATAACATCACCTTCTTATCTGCTTCTATTTCGCTAGAAATATTCTTAGTTTTTGCTTCCTCTAAATCTTTTATTTTAGTTTTCCAATGTGCCTTACATAAATCTATCCCTTGTCTTAAGGGTTTCAAATAATTTTCCTCAAGCACATTTATTATACTCCAAATGCCAGTTTCATTAAATCGATCTCTGATAAGTAAAAATCTTAAGAGATTTAACGTAGTTATTATTTCATCTGATATCTCTACCAAATCGGTTGCACTACCATAAGGCAAATTGCACGCACTTTTTAATAAAGAATCTAAATTGTTACCAAAAAAATATGTACATCTAGGTGTCATTCCTAAACTTTCAATGATAGATGTTTTAACTAAACCAGTTATCAAGCTAAGCACGCCAGAATGGTAACATGTATTATATAAGTATAATATTACGGAATATCTAGCTTCCATATTAAATATATTTATAATATATTCATGAAAAATTGATAATGCCTTTTTTCTTTCACTGTCGCTTTCGCAATATATCATGACATTAATAATAGCGTGTAATAATTTAACATAAATTCTTAATTCTAATTTGTCCGGACCAATTGACATTTTTTCCACACGTTTTACAAGTAATTCCATAAATATTAAACCTTTAGATATTAACGCAATATCTTGTTCCTTAAGAAGACAATTAACGAGAAAAATGCCCGCTTGAAAAATATAATGTGGATGATATACTTGTGGAAGTTTTATCCATAATGTTTCTCTCGTTATTACATAAAAATAAAAATTGGCATATGCCAATGTTGGTACAATTTCTTGCAATTCCAAGATCTCACACTTTTCTAATTGTTTACTTACACTTATAGATTTTTCATCCGAATCTTTTTTAAATGTCCAGTCATTCTCTAATATTGAACGATCATTTATAAAATTTAAAGGATACAATACATCTTTGGCAAGATGAAATATAAGCTTTAATATTTGATCGCGAATTTCTGATGCTATAACATCTTCGTATAAATAACAATATGGTCTTCCTAATAAATAAATTAGAAGACCTAATAAATATTCCTTATATATAATATCTTGTTTAGTTATATTTGTTATGCTTAATTCTTGGATTAATGATTGTAAGAATGAAACAATATTGGTATACAAATTGATAATTCTATCTGAAATTGCATTTGTTTCTTTGATATTTTTATTTTTGTTGAACTCTGATTTATCGTAATTCGGTATTGGTAATGCTTGTACATAAGATTGTATCGTACCAACACACCATTCAATGGCCTTAGATTTATCGTTTAGTTTATTAAAACTAATTCCAACTGGCTTCAACATTGTACAAAATTTCGTATCATTTTCTAAAGATTCAATTTGTTCTAAAAACTGTAATACAGTCTCAGATGGATTACACTTTTCTGCTATTATATTGAGTATAGTTTCACAACATTCAAATAATTTCTTTTTATTGTTAGCATTAGAACTCGTAAAATAATTAGAAACAATGGGTACAACATCCCACGAAGATTGTTCAATTATTTGTTCGTGAATGTTATTTTTGAATAAAAGTACAGCACTTTCTGAATCATCATTTTTCAAAAGTTCTTTTAATTCTGCAATAAATTTTTCTATCGCCTCTTTTTCGTTACTTATAGACATTTTTTTTAGGTTAGTCGATGAAGAAATAACGTTTAAATTTATACATATATATATATGCATACATACATATATATATAAATATATATTTATTCATATATACAAATTTATAGATTAAATTTTCTTTTACTGAATATTAATTTCTCGATAAAAAAAAAAGTTTCAGTTAAATTTCATTTGTCTAGAAACGTTTATAAAAGCACAATTTATTTACGAAATTATCCGTCACGTCTACGCGTTATCCTTCTCTCTCTCTCTCTCTCTCACTCTCTCTCTCTTTGTTTCTAACTCTCTCTTTTTCTTTCATATGTTACATCAAAGAGTATAAAAAAACAAACTATATAAAAGCAATAACGAGATATAAGGAATTACAATGTATTAACAATCTAATTAATATTACGATAAAAGATATTTTTGAATCAAACTTCGTACAATATATCATGTCAAAATAAATGACTTGCGACAATGTTACACTCTTTACGTATCAACGATTGATTAACTATGCGATTAAACGTAGAATATGTTAATTTTTTAAAAGACATAGAAACGAATGATATATATTAATTTAATTTTTATCATAAAGATTAAAATTACTTACCATTAACAACGAATGTTCGTCCCGGTAGAAGAAAGTTGTACACAGCCATATTCGAAATACTGAAAAAATCATATTAAATCATAGGACATTGTGCAAGTCCAATAAATAATATTCTTTTTAATAGAATAGCCAATAGCGAAAACAAAAATTAATTAAAGATCAGTACCAATATTGAGAATTCGAAATAATATGATTAAAAATAAAAACAATATCTTTTGTATATGAATACATATATATATACCTATACATACACACACACACAAACCACATTTTAATACGATAAGTTATTTTTAGATAATTTTCGTGAATATTATTTTATTTCTCGAATTAATTTAATTTAATTTAAAAAAAAAAAAAAAAGAAAAAAATTCTTATTTCGGACTTTTGAAATGATATTAATCAATTTTGTTTTCGATTAATGAATTTCTATTCGTCAATTTTATATATTATTTTCTTTCGATAAATTTAATTTAACTTTGTTACAAAAATAATGCAATTACGAACAATATATTTATTTTATATTATAGTAATTATAAAACAGCCAATCATAAAATATGTATTATCAGAAGATGTTTTTCTTACCTATTATCATTTTTTTAAAGTTGAAAATATAATAATTAATAGTAATTATAATTTTATATGTTTCATTGGTTATCTTTTGTGATCGATAATGATGATGATGTAATTATCGTCTTTAGGTTATCTATCATACACATATATATATGTATATATATGTATATGTATATATATATATATATATATATATATATATATATATTATATTATAAATAAAAAAAAAAAGAAAAAAAATTCAATCAAATGCAATACTAAATATGTAATTTATAGAATTTATTTTTTTTTTTTCATGAAAACAGTCTTAATATCAGTCAGTTTAGTGTATACATATAATTCCCACGCGTTATGATGAATATTTTAAAAATATTTTCTGTATTATATAAAAGTGTTTATTTAATTGTGTATATGTGATTCGATTAATGTTATTTTACAAAAATAATTTTATTTATTATTATATACCCACCAAAGTATTTTACTCTCTCTTTCTTTCTCTCTCTCTTTTCCCTTTCGTTTAAAGTACATTGTTCTCTACATGTGCTCTCTTCGTGGCTGTTATATTTTATTTTGTTTTATCGTCATTTGATTTGACTATGAAGAAATGAACGATAAATTAATTTCGAAGTTGATTTATAATCGATTTGATATCGGAATTTAATAAAATGGAGGAGAATTTCTTTACTGGTAAGCTTTATTTCGAACGATTTATATAAGTAATATAACCTTAAAATATTATCATGTAATTTTTGTGTTTTATATTTTTAAATATAAACTTTATAAGCTTTATATTTTTTAAATATAAACGTTTTTTTTTCTAGATTTTTCTGACAATTTTGTTGACGATGAAAGCGATAGCGATCTAGAATCTAGATTATATGCTAATATTCATTATACGTCAGTTGAAACAGAAACACCGAATGAAGTACCAATTACTTCAGAAATTTCTTCTAATAATAAAAAGAACATAAATAATACTGCTATTTTAGATGATAATATACAAAATCGAGAAAATTCATCTAAGTGTGCAGACAGTGAAAGAAATATTGAAAGTAGTTTTAATGAATCTTTACAACGGGATAAAGAAATAATACGCAATAATATGGAAAAAGTAATATGTACAGATTCAGTTCAAAAAGATATTGATGATCCTTATACATTTGATATAGATATTGAGGATCGAAATAATATCTCGCCTATGAAGAAAAATCGTAAAAAAATTAAAAGAAAGGCTAAAAAATCTATTGTAAATCGAGTAACACAGGAGTTGCTTAATTATGTCTTTAAAGTTCCTAATAAGTTACAATTGTTGTCAAATAATCATTCTAATGTTAAACAATCTGGTATTTCAAATATTAATACTTTAAAGAATAAATCTATAAAATCAAGACAAAAGAAACAAAATATAGAAAATGTTCTTTCTATAAATAAAGGTTCAAAAGAATCTATTAATCTAATTTATACTGAGAAGCATAAAGATATAGAAGAAAAGAATACTAAATATAGTGTTCTGAATAAAAAAGAAAAAGGAAAGTTACATGATATTGAACATTTTAACAATGAAAGCAATTCTGATTCTGATTCTGATTCTGATTCTGATGAATCAATATTAGAAGTACCAGTTCCTCCTAAACCTCCACCTCCTGTTATTAGCTTAAATGATTCTGATGAGGATAATAAATCGCCTAATAAAAAGAGCACTATGACAAAAAAACCTTTAACTGTTGAAGATTGTAATACAAATAACTTTAGAGATCAAGTGAAAAAAGCATTATCGAAATCACAATCTGAATTAACGTCTTTGAATAATTCAGAGATTTTAGATGATGAAAATAATATGGAAGACATAATTTTGAATTGTACGGATATCCGTAAAGGTGCTTCTAGTATTACAGAAATTAAAGAAATGAGCAAAAATGTTCAAAAGAAAAAAAGATCTCATGGCACAAAAGAACTAAGTCCAAATGTTCTACAAGATGGTAAAATTAATAACAATAAAAACAAGTCTGAAAAGAAAAATGTTGATTCAAGTAACAAACAATTGGATAATACATCTACATCCATGTGTTCAACAGAAAACATGCGTAATGATGCATCTGAAGTTATTGAAGTACATACAAATATAGATTTTACAGAAGATATATTGCCTGTGGATGAATTTATTATGTCGCAGAATGAATCAAGTCCAAATAAAAAAAGGCAGCTTGAATGTGAACATACAATAAATGATAATGTTAAACGTGCAAAAATAAGTGATGAATTTTACCAAAGTGAACCAAGTACAAGCGGTGTATATAGTAAAAATAAAGAAAATAAAGATAAATCAAATGACAGTTCCTCCTTTCATCCAATGTCAGAGAAGTTAAGAGCTTTTTATACTAATTCTCGTGGTCAAGAGAACTTTGATGTTAGCGAAGTCCAAAGTAAAATGTCCAGTAAGTGAATAATATTTCTATTTTGTTATATTTGTCCTTTTGTAGATAAATATTGTTTATAAATAAATTATAGAAGATCCACGACTTTGGGCTATTTTAGATGAAGATTTAATATCAAATTCTAAAAAACGGAACTTTTGGTTTAAGTGTTCTTACTGTCATCAAAGTGGTCATGAAAGACACGATTGTCCGATAATAAATAAATCATTAAAATGTTATATGTGTGGTGTTCAAGGTCATACAGGAACACGTTGTCCTCGAAGAATGTGTCTGACGGTAATATATTATTTTTTAAGATCTACAATTATTATGTTAGCAAAGTTAGCATAATAAATATTGCTTGATAATTTCAGTGTGGTAAAAAACAAGGGACATTTAAAAAAACTTGTGAAACCTGTCGAACACTTTATTGTACTATGTGTAATGCGGTAGGTCATATGTATACAGAATGTCCAGATCTTTGGAGAAGATATCATCAAACAGTAAGTTAATATTGTACATTTGTTATATAATTTTAACAATCGTAAAATAAAAATTAAAATTATAATATATAAAAATGATATTTTAGACAACAACGAATGGAATAAGTATTCCTTCCAATATATTGGGCGTGATGAAACCTGCCGATCGTCTCTTTTGCTGTAATTGTACGAAACGAGGCCATGATTCCTCTATGTGTAAAGATAACAGATGGTCGAAACATTTTCCTACACCATCGTTTGTATCAAATTATACAGATGGTCCAACTTATATTAATGAAAAAGATCAAGCTGTAAATGTCGTAGAACAATCAAATGATGATGTCATACAATCTCAAAACAGAACTAATAGCAATGAGTCTAATACTAATATACTTGTTAACGTGCTTGCATCCGATGATCTTTTACCATTTCCAAAGGAATTGTTAAAAAGGAAACAGAGTCAAAAAAAGGCATTTCCACAAAATGTATGGGAAGATGAAACTAATATCTCTTATATCATATACGAATGCGGTGTATTTTATACAATAGAAAATAATGGAATGGAAATAACGTATACTATAACTGCAAGAAAAGGTTTCAATACATATTATATAATGGAACGACGTGTTGCTCCATATTTTTTGGAAAATTTATTAAAGCTATTTATGTTTGAAGTAAAAATATATAAGAAAAATGGTTCAACAAATGAAATAGTCTTGCGCATCAGAACGTATGCTGATTTAATAAACGATTTGCGTAGACTTATTCTATATTGGTTGAGCCTTGAGGATGATGAAAAAGATTATGTAATGTTTTTGGATTTACCATTGAAACGAATAGAAATGCTAAAACTTTTAAATTTGAAAATGAAAAAATTAGGAACAGAATCGGGAAATGCTCTTAAATTATATGATGGCATAGTTTCGTCAAAATTATTTTTACAGATTACAAGGCATGAATTAAAATATTTAAACGTTTTTAGTCGTATACAAGAGAGCCAGAAAAAATTACTCTTAATATTGAATGATCATCCAAATCTACGAAAATTTCCAGAGGAAATTCAAGAATTTATAACGATTTTAGAACGATCAAAAAGTACGAATGTACCTCTTCAGGCATATCTTCAAATTCTTACAGTTTATAATTTTATATTCGTACCTCACACTCCACCAAAATCTTTCGTAACAAAGTATGGTAAATATAAAAAGCCTAATGTAAATAAAAATACACGCAAGGGTAATTCTAATGCTAATGCTTCCAAAGGAAAAGCTTCTGCTCAGCAAAATTTAACAATACCAGTTATACAAACTGATCGATCATCTAATAACAATGATTTACGATCTCGGAAATCTAATCAATGTAATCTTGTTTCGAAGGAACCTCAAAATGTCAATGATTTTATACAATTAGAAAATACGAATGCTACATATACTTATGTTAGTTGTGACGATACAGTCAACGAGATTAACAAAACAAACGAGAATAGTAACACCGAAAATTATAGAACTTCGGAATATAGTAATTTGCCTAAAACGACTATGAGTCAAGGTGAATGGTATAACAATGATGTTACTACAAATAGAAATATAATGGAATACAATTTGCCATCTACGTCGCACAATTCAGTTTCGAAAAATACGACCTCTGATAAATATACAAATATTACCGTTAATATGTTAAATAAAAATCAAGCTGACGAAACTCCTGACAATGTTAAGTTAAATATGAATAATACTAAAACCGATGAGTATA